CCTTCTCTTCTTCAGGCTAAACATGCCCAGCTCTTTAAGCTGCTCTTCATAGGGCTTGTTCTCCAGACTCCTGATCATTTTAGTCGCCCTTTCTATGCATAGGTTCGTATTTCCTTCAGGATTGTATTAGAGGAAGTGAGCTTTAAACACATAATTGACAAGGAATAGTAAAAAGTAAAAATTAAAAAAGTAAAAATATCAAAAAGTCTAATTTGCATTAGCATCTTTTGAATACAGAATGAAACAGTTACCTTAACTGAAACTGTATATCAATCAAAGTGCCTGTAATGGAAATGTACTATCTTAGCACATTCTGATTGGACTACACGCTATTATGAGTGCATCTCCTGATTTTTCATTATGGATAACAATTATTATTTTTGTTAAGTTTAGTACTGTGAGATTCTGTAAAGCATCCATCTAAAGTTAACTTTGAATACTAGTAAGGACTTATGTAAATCTACATAAAATTGCAAAATGTACAAATGTGGAAGTGAATTAAAAGTTTTAGATTGTTAAATACAATACATGTGCTTTATTTTTAGAGGGAAGGCATTTTTGGGGGGAGAACTGTGCGGTATAGGAGAAACCGAAGTGAAACAGTATTGCAGCAAAAGAAAAATGTGCTGTCCTAGATAGTGCAAAAGTTCAGTTTACCACAACTAAGATTATAATGTTTTCATCTATCGCTTCATGGACTGGAAACATTTGTTTATTGAACTGTTATGTACTAATGGGAAACTTCATTAGAATTTACCTTTATTCACCTTGGTAACTTAAATCAGTCTGATTTATTCCAAATACTTTTCTATCTGTAGCTGGATCTTTCAGTTCTTGATAAAGATAAAATCAAAGTGTCCTTCAGATTCCTCCTTTGTCTTGCCAGAATTTCCGTTGATGCACATAGCTTACATATGCAGCTTGTTTTCTGCAGATCAGTAGTAAGCATTTCCTTCTAGTTTATTGAAAGCGTGAAGTTATCCAAAGTCATATGGGTTTATTATCGTACTTTATTGTTGCTAGACTCCTGTTTTTGTCTAGGATTCAAATAACTGACTTACTATTGCAGTAGTCCATAGTTGGTTGTTTTGAAGCAGGGTCAAAAGTCCATGTTGATAATATGGTGCTGTTGAGCTCTTTCTTAATATTTTTCACTTGTTCTGTTTTTCAAATGGCAGCTAAATAAATTGTTCTTTTAAATGTGATATAACTATGCTAGTTCAGTACAGAGGCTATCTTTTTGATGGAGCAGGGTTGTCTAATCTGTTATAGTCAATGTGCTCTATTTTGGCAAAATGGCTCAAGATTTCTGTTCTCACAACTTTCTTGGTATAGATATGAAAAACGTTCTGTTCAGTACAAGCAACATAGATACAAAAGTAAGTTTTCAGAACAATATGGTCTTTCAATCTCAAATTGTCAAAGTAACAATTCTCAAGAATTTTGCTTCTTCATATCAGAAAACACAGGCTTCTATGTTCTTAAAATTCTTTCCATTAACTATTTTTTTTGCAATTTCAAGAAACTTCAGATTTAAAGTTTAGATGGGATATTGACTGCATTTTAATAAGGAATGAGGAAGCTGTTGCAAGTGGCAGTATGGTCAATTTTATTAAACATTTATTTGTTACTTTTTTAAATGATACTTTCTATCTCAGCTCAATATTACATTAGTTTAGATGGGGCTAGTGGATTTTTAAAACTAATTTGCTGGTTGGCCAGTCAATATTGTAAATCTGAATACAGGTCCTGTCCCAGTTTGTGCTTTACTATCTGATGACTGGGAGTTTTTCCAACCTACTACTGCTTCAATCTATACCTCAACTTACTTGGCAGATCTTGCAGAGTTATTCATGCTGTTACATCTAGATTGTATTTCACTTTGAGACTCTCATTTTAATACCAATATATGTCTTGGGAAGATTTTTGTGAAATTCCCTTTTTTGAGTTAAGCTATTTTGATTTCTTGTTTGTTTATTTCCTTATTTGTTTTCTATTTGTTCCCTAACACGGGTCTCAAGATGGCTTACAACATAGATTAAAACAAAAACAAAATACAGCTGAAAGATCATGCAGGATGTTAATGTGTTTCTAGGGTCAATTAAAAGTTCTGCTTGTCACATTTAAATTGCTTGAACAGCTTGATACTAGTTTATTTGAATGGCTGGTTTTGACTTTTCTGTGGTTTATATTATCAACAGTACATGCCTAAAACAAGCAAAAGTAAAGATATTCACAAATATTTATCCATACTATAATTTATTCAGAGTAGAGACACGATGTTACCCTTGTATCCATGGGGGATATGTTCCAGGCTTTCCCTTGGAAACCTAAAATTACAGATGCAGGCAGTCATCGAGTTACAAACATCTGACTCACAAATGACAATAAGAAGTGATAGAAATTTACCTTTATCACCAATTGTTCTTTTCACAATACCAATTTGTCAAAATCCAATTCTCACAGGGGCAGATTGCATTTAAATTGCATTATATGACAGGTTTAACTCATATAATCCAATTCAATTCTGTTCAGTCTGCATTATATGTGTTTACACTTCAAGCTGCCTTATATGGCAGTGTAGCTAGGACTTAGAGAGGACCACAAACACTACCCTATGTATTTTTTTAAAAATCTACAATCATATGGCTGATTCAATTTCTTGTAGTTTTTCCAATTGTATTCCCCCTTTACTATCTTATAAGCCACAGGAAAGCATACAGAAAATTTGAAAGTCCAATAAAATTTCTTTTTCTGGAATTTGTCTTTGTCAGATTCATGAGTTTGCTTCTGTGTGTACATACTTGGTTCCTCAAATAGGTACTGATAATGAGTGTTTACATTCTGACAGGACAATCCAAAGGTCAGATATTCTGGATACATCCTTTTAAAGTGAAGAATCAGTATTTGTAACTTGTATGACTGCAGTAATAGGTTATTTCTATAACAGTTTGTTTATTTCTCACAACGCAATAGGTCTGTGACTTTTCCAATATATAGTAACCCTTGTACTTCACTTGACATACTTCAGTCACTTCTGATATAGGGTGGATGAGGACAGAATAGATGCAGGTACCTAAAACAAATAAGTGAGGCTTGTCTTTGTTGGGGCATTGAACCCATCCAGGACTTAGCTGCTAGGACTAGGTTGAAGTTAGATTGAGATGGTGGTTGTTTTCCTGCATTTCTTTTGATATTGAAATCCTATTCTTCCCTTCAGATGTCCTACCTGATAATGCTGATGGAAAATTATTGCCTTACAGGTAGTTTACAATACTAGTGTTCTTCACAGTGAAGCAAATGCCGACAAATGAACTGACAATAATCTTTCAGATTTTCTCTCTCTTCTCTTTGAAGTATAACTCATGCAGTGTTATTTAATCTGTTTTGGTGTTCATTTTTTTTAAAAAACCCAAAATATTCTAGAATTCATAATTGTAGTAAAATACTTCTATTTTTAGAGGTAAGCAGTGTTCTTAATGTAGGATGTAAATAAGTTTTGCTGGAATATTCTGATGGAAGGATTAATTTTGAGATTTATTGTTTGTCACGTGGTCTTCACTTCAGCTGCACAGCACTTTTATATAATTCACTGCTGTGTGGCTTTACTTACTGAATATAATCTGGTTATGGCAGTTGAAATTTTATACATGTATTTTCAGGGAAGCAGTTGGATTTATATTTTAGCTCTAGTTCTGTTCCATTCCTGACACTTTGGGTTTCTGCACAATATTTCTATGCATCTATTTATCAAGCTTTCCATAGATTATGAGGAAACATTTGTTTTAAGTTCATAATATATAAAATTTGTGTTAAGAATATATCTAACCTTAAGCATGCAGATTTGGCACTAGCCAAACAATTTTCACTCAGATTAGTCCAGCAGTCCATACTGTTTATGTAATTCTCTGCAACCTTCAGAATGCTTACATTCTGTTGACATACTATCAAGCCAGTTTGGAGGACTCGAGAGAATTATGGTGAAGTACAGTCAGCAAAAGTGAGATCCATAAAACCAATGCATTTACAGTTTTGTTTGTCTTTTCTTCTGTAAGTTCGGTGACTTCAGTACACCAACAAACATTGTAATGTAATTTTCAGGAGTGCATAGACTTATAGCTCTGAAGCACCTTGTTACTTGATTCCTGTAACTCTATACAGTAATTATGTTTTTAACATTTCAGGACATTTTCTGGGAAGCTTTCAGAGATGCCACATGAACTCTCCTATGAGACTACAAGTTCCCATATTACTTCTCATGGCACGCAGCCTTCCTGTTTAAAACTGACCTATGTCTGCTTCCTGTTCTTTAAATTAAAATCTCCTTTCCTTTTTCAAACCAAACCAAACCAAAATTTAAATAATTTTAATTTTTGAAAAAGAAAGAATTCATAGATTAATTTTAACAGGAGAAGTATGAGACCTACAAGTAATATGGAAACTTCTGTTCTCAGTTGTAGGGAGAAGGATCATCTTAATATTTTGGTGATTTAATTATAAAAGAAATTTCATTTGGTTGCCATAATTTGTGTAAATTATGGCGATAAATGTAACTTATTACATCTGAACTCTTGTATGAAAGAACTTCGTTATATTTACATTGTACTTTCCATATAGTCAGTTTTTTAACCTGAGATTTAATAAAAAAAGAAACAAACAAGTAAACAGCCACTGCCTCAAATTGGTTACAGATAACACTGGTGTTGGTTATTTGATTGGCATGTCAGAATGCATTTAATTGTTAAGGAACAGTAATATTTGTAAACTGAATGTATTCATCTTATGTGTAGAGTTGCATATTTTTACCATCTCACAATTCAGGTAACATTACACATATAGTAGAAAATATTTTGCTTGGTTTAATGAAGAATTATTATTACATTCCTGATATTTCGAATTATTTTAAATACATTTGTCCTAGCTTTAGTATTTGTATACTGTTGCAATATATTTTGGCACTGTTTTCAAGATTTGCTGAATTGTGCTTTTGTCTTTCACAGCTTGCGTTAAAGGGCTCTAATTATAGTGGACTACTAGAACGGCATCGGATTCATACAAAAAATGTGGAGCATGTTGTAGATAGTTTAAGGTAAGGGTATGTATCAAATATTTTGATTATAATCCATTTGAAATATTCTCAGTAATAAGAGGTTACAGAACTTCAAATTATTCTAATGTTTCCTTTTCTAAAAATATAAACTTTTCTAAAAATATAAACTGATTTGGATTCAGCTATCCTATTATGTGCGCATAAAAGAAAACTGCACATACTTAATCTGTTTTTTTAAAATTCTGTTTAGTAATGGTAACACAAATATGGTTCCCCCCACATTCATGGGTTTTTCTTTTGTGGATTTGATTATTCATGAGTTTATAGCTGCTGCTTAATTAGTTCAGGCTCCTCGCTCCACTCCATTTACTGTCCCTTTGCCTGTTCCTTAATGTCCTGCCAAAAGCACCCGCCATCATTTCATTTAACACCTTCTTACAACAAAGACTCCTTCCTCCTGCTGTGAGATTTTAAACTACTTTTCCAACAGTCCTTGGTTCTTCCCTTTTGCTACCAGATTTCAAACGTTTTTCATTCTGATAGCAGAAGGCAAGAAGGTGAATCTTAGTGAAAGAGTTTTAATATCTGACGGTCTGGCATGCATGTTGGGGTGTGTGTGGTATGGGGGGGGGGGGAAGTGTCTTACAATATTTTAGGTTTTTTACTTTCCTTGAGTTTCTAGGTCCCTAACCCCTGGGAATGTGGGAAGCTGACTTCTGAAATTATGAATTCAAAAGTATATCATGCTCCAAGTTGGACAATTGCTGCCGCCGTGCTGAAAATGAAGCAAAAAGTCTATTTGCATGTGGTTGTCTGAATTATGGCCAATGTGGACTCAAAGCATAGTAATATTTAATCAATTAGACAGTAGTATGTGTCTGACTGTCATTTAATAGAACTTGTGTTGCACTTCTTTTCTTAACATGAGTCATCTCTCAGTTGAATAAGATATGATCAACCATGTACTGTACTTCAGTTTATTCTGGTAGTGTGTATCTATTTACATCTTGTTGAATTCCTATGAAAAAAGCAACCTCTTAATTTGTTAATGTATGTTTTTGCACTAATATTACATATTTAATAGGAGTAATTGGAAAAATGTTTGCCAAATAACTAATTGGAGGACTTTCATAGAATTGGTAACTACAACTGACACACATTAGATATCTTCCATGAAATTAATTTTTGGTAGATGATACTACTGTATTCAGTTGCAGCCTGTATTTGCTTTTCTTATCCTAGAGTCCTTTAGCTAAATTGAGTAAAGTAGCTCTTTAACTAGGAAACTTATATTATTTAAGCCTTAAAGACCTGAATAGTAACTACTTGCATTTCCCTAAATCTTCAGGAATGAAAAGATTGAGGTCCGACTTGTGAAACGCAAAGAATATGATGAAGAGACTGTTCGGTGGGCAGATACTATTGTAGCAGCAGGAGGTATAAACTTGTGAGTGGGGAAATGCATTTTGAGTTACAGTAAACTTGCACATTTGTATACTGCAGCAACCTGGAACTTGTTTGTGCCAGGGGGCAGCCAGCATTACTAGCTGTTTTAAAGCATGGGTGTGTGTGTGTGTGTGTGAGGGGGTGTCTCAGATATTTGGGGGGCACATTTTGGGTCTTCAGGACCACATATAACTTGCAGACTGTAACTACTCTTGTGGTAGAATATATCTTGGTTGCAGATTATGAGAAACATATGATTATGAGTGGTGATGTTGGGATCTCCCTTGGCTTGCCTCCTACAATGAATCAAAATTTTAAAAGAGTGCTGTAGGTAGAGATTTCCAGCACTGTGTTGGGCAGGATGATTTGCACAGCCAATCATCCTGCATACATTTATGTATGCTAAGACTGTCCCACTAGTTATAATATAATTTTTCATTCATTTGTTGTTTGTATAATTTGTATTGTTGGAAAAAACATGATGTACAGATACCAGTATTCAAACGCCTACAGAAGAGATTGTGAACTAAACTATGTGTCTACATAAGTATCCTTTCCTTGTGACAATTTGTTTTCTTTATCAGTCTCTATATCTAGGGTAGAGTTTACATTTATGGGGATAAAATTGTCTCTGCTTCCTTTTGTATCTTCCTATATAAAAGCAGTCTCTTTGCTTATTTTATATTTTACATAGGTGATGGCACAATGCTTCTGGCAGCCAGTAAGGTGTTTGACCAATCAAAACCTGTTATTGGAATAAACACAGACCCTGAAAGGTGAGTGAAAATACTGTAGCCTATGGTATTTTGCACCTGATTTTTGAGTTCTGTGTGTATTTCTAGCACATGTTCTGTGATTCATATGGTTCAGTAAGGATACCTTAAACAGATATTGAAATGCAACTAGTATTGTTTTGCTAACCTGGAATTATCTGGAAGTATGTTGTTCATATGTTCAGTAATCTTAAAATCACATGTTTTAAATATATATTCGTGAGTAGATATAACCTGCAGTAATTGATTCAACTGTATTAGGCACCTGCTATTTCAGTTTTCTAGTCTTCTGTACCTTTAATTTGTGAGTCTTCTGATTAATTCTATATCTGGCATCCATCCCAAATCTGATTGTTGCTGTGCTGATGTCTGAGAGACATGGTTTGATTAAAGTAAGCCACACTGCATGTTGCAGATTTTTTTCTTCAACTTCTAATGCAGTAATTTTATAGATGTCCCATTTTAGTGCTATAATCTCAAACTTTTGTAGTGTTCCTTCCACATTTCTAATTGTTCTGTTAGTGAATGAACGAATACTAGTATTTGTGTTGTCATATACTTCTTGAAAACTGAATTGAGCTCAATTTTGTAGAAGTAGCAAAAGAAGCAAACAAAAATCAAAAGAAGCCTTGCCTCCAAAGATCCTCTAGGGGGCGTAGAGGACATTTCCACCATGTTTAGAACTCTCCTGGACTCTTAGGGGCTAAACCATTTTAAGAAAGGTTTTTTAAAAATTAAAAAAATAAATCTGCCTCTAAATGTACCAAATTGACCTCTAGGGCTTAGGAAGACCCAAAAACTCCATGTTCTGTAATTTCTTTGGAGGAGTAGCTACTTTGTGGGATGTGGCCCTTGATGATGTCAGGAGGCCGTTAAGGAGGTCCCTTAGCCTTCCACAGTTTCCCACATCAGATTCAGAACATTCCTGTGCCTAAAAAAGTGACCCATATCTTGACTGGAATTTTTCTCCTATTATTTACCAAATCCGCCTTCCAATTCTTTGTTGCCTTTTAAAAACTGAAACTGGGAACTATTCTATAATTTGAAAACATATTGAATAACTGAGTTTTGAAATCCCTTAAGTAGGTTGTGTTAAGTCTATTGCTACTGTTCTTTGATTACGTTTAAATCTTATGTTTAGCTTATTTTATTTATCGTGTCAGAAGTGAGTTGAGGGTACAGTTAACATGTATTTAAAAATACAGAGTTTTAAAACTTGGCATTATGCTAAATGTCCTTTGACCAGAAGCTGGCCATTTGGAGTGCCTCTGGTGTCGCTGTTTTGCTATACCAATATTTATCTAGTTAGAGCAATACCATCCAGTATTATGTTACTTATTCCTTTTTTTAAAAGGGACATGAGGGAACAGATCTGTACTTTTATTTATTTATTTATTTAGACCATTTCTACCCCGCCCTTCTCACCCCCGAGGGGGGACTCAGGGCGGCTAACACAGGCAAGAAGATAGGAGAGTACTCTGTTTTACTATTTTTATATTGCTATATCTAGATCTGAAGGTCACCTGTGTTTACCTGTACGATATACACACTCATTTCCACATGCTCTACAAAAGCTCTATCGTGGTGAATTCAGGTATGTAGGATCTTACATATCTAAGCAGTTGGTGGGGACAAGAGAGAGGGCTTTCTCGGTGGTGGCCCCACGGCTTTGGTGGCCCCCACTGTCCTCCTTTCGTAGGGACTTGAAGATGTGGCTCTTCAATAAAGCCTTTGAGAATGTTTAGTCCCTAGTTGAGTTGATGTTTTATATGTGCATGTGTTTTATTTTATTGTATTTTATATTGTGCTCACTCTTACGTTTTGTTTTTAGGCACTTTGTGCTGTCTGTAAGCCGCCCCGAGTCCTTTCAGGGAGATGGTGGCGGGATATAAGAATAAAGTAGTAGTAGTAGTTATTATTATTATTATTATTATTATTATTATTAGCCATTACCTTTTTTAAAAAAAATGTATGGGAAATAATTTAGCTGTCTTAAGGAACAATTTTGATCTCACAACCACCTAACACTTTACTCATATAAATATCGGTATTTCTAATCCGTGCTTGATCTCTTCAGTCTTTGGACACTCATCCATTATGAAATGCTATTCAAATGCATATGTAAGCAAACCTAATGTCTGTAAATTATCAAGATTATCAAGCAGTACAGCCAAAACAAATCCAATGAAAACAAATATTTTAAAGTAGAGATTGAGGGCAGGATAAGTACTGGGCTTCTGTTGGTAGAACAGCAGAATCTATAGGAAGGGAAGCAGAGTTCCCTTTTGGTTAAATTTTAAAGTAGAGATTGAGGGCAGGATAAGTACTGGACTTCTGTTGGTAGAACAGCAGAATCTATGGGAAGGGAAGCAGAGTTCCCTTTTGGTTAAATTTTCCACTGGCCCCACAAAAATTAACTCTGAAGTACTGGGAAATCTTCAGGAGACAGTTTTCAGGCAAATCTGGAATTTTGAGGAGGAGGGTGAAGAAAAATTATATTCTACAAATGCTTCAACACTGGTTCAACAATGCTTCAATATTGGTTTGAGGCCCAAACACATTTTTTAAACAGAATTAATAAAAAAAGAACCTAATTACCCTTAGCATTATATGGAGGCAACACATTTGTAGAATACCTTCAATTTGAAGGAGTTGCAGATTTGTGCATGTCTGTATCCATGTTGCTGAGAAATATACCGTAATGGAAATATTTAGAAAGCCAAATAGATGAAACTATGAGAACAAAATTTCTTGCATTGCGACTGTTGCAAGACCTATTAAAAGGAATAAAGGACTTGGGTAGTGTCCTCAAATAGGGTGTTTTGAGTCTCCTGCAGGAGAGATAAAGCGGGGTATAAATAATAATAATAATAATTATTATTATTATTATTATTCAACGTTATTTAGCTTAACAAGGCACTACACCAGTACCCATGAATTCAATCATCTACTGTATAAAATATATCGTTCCCCAACAAATATCTGAAAAGTAAACTTTGGTTTTGCCATTTTATATAAAGGGCAGGATTTTACTACAGCATTGTATTTTATAGGACTTTTGAATATCCACACGTTTTGGTATGTACAAGGAATCCTGGAATCAAACCCCAGTGGACAGCAAGGGCCTGCTCAATGTACAAATAATCTTAAACCATTTCAGTTTGCTCTGTCATGTAGATACCTAAAATTAAACTTCCTTGAATTTGTAAGGTTTGTTAATATTAGGTAAGGTGATTTAGAGTGGACCAACATCTTTTTTATTAAGGACCTTCTGAATGTAGCTAATGAGTTGACATTTAAATACTCATTAAAATGTCATCATTTGTAATGGTTTTGTACTTTGTGAAATCATTTTCTTCTAAAGATGGCAGTGGAGGCAGCGAATTCGTCTGTACCTTGAAGGAACTGGTATTAACCCTGCCCCTGTTGACTTGCATGAACAGCAGTTGAGTCAAGAACAGCATAGCAGAGCCCATGTTAATGGAAGATTCCAAGATCAAAGTGAGCATGCATCCATGCATAACTTTCTTATATACTTAGGGCCTTTCCACACAGCCATATAAACCAGAATATCAAGGCAGAAAATCCCAGTTAACATATGTACAGACATGATGGCTATATATTCATGATCCCTACATAGCTCCCATTTTAAGGGCTACATAAGGACCATAAAGTCCCCCAGTTCCAGGATGCAGCTACTACAATCAATGACAGCCTGATACTCTTTTACTTGTGAAGTAGGTGCTTGACATTGTCTCACACACATATGTGTGCAGGTTATCTCCGGTGCAGGGGGGGAATTTGCTACAGAACCATACTTCTTCCTTTTGCATTGTGGAGTGCTCACAGAAGAGAGTTGAAATGCCAACTGCTTCCTGAGTAGTTTTGGAACATGCCCATATCAATTGCATAACTTCTTCCTAGTAAGTGGGAACTGGGGAGGTTGAGCTAAAATTCACCATAGAAAACTGTAACTGTGGTACTTATGCCTACATATCTGCCATACACGATGCAAGCCACTGGCTTTTATCCTTAGTGACCATAGAAAATGCCACAGAAAGTAAGCCAAATAGATTCATATGTGTGTGTATACATGAGCACATGTTACTATCTTGCTTTCTCTGTTTTTTGAGATTGTCTTCTTGGGTCATATATCAGTGTGATTTGCTTATCTCTGCAGGGTCTCAGATTTCTGAGCCACACCTCTTGCCTGTGAGATCATTAAATGAAGTCTTCATTGGAGAATCTCTCTCATCCAGGTATGTTAGATATCTGCTCAAAAGCATTACTGCTCAGCTAAGCATGAAATTTTAGTTTACACTCAGGCTTAACGTGTTCATGTTTCTTTATTTACTAATTTGTGCAAAACTATTTCCAGACTTAATTACTTCATCCAAATCATACATTTCTCCTATCTTCAAATGTGTGGAAAGGAGTTTTCCTCATATTCCGCCTCATGTTTCAACAGATCTTGCCTTTGCATGCAAATTTTGCTTTTGAATTCACTTAAGGGAAGAACAAATGAGCTGTTCTTTTTAGTTACTTTCTTGCTTGTAATGTATCGTCTTGCATGCTTGGCACAATTATTTGAAGCTCTAACCTTCCTTGTTCATATTTCATGACTGACCTAGTTATGAGACAATAGCATACTATTTAAAAGCACACTCTTTTGCAGTGTTTGGCAGGGTCACTGTTTCTTAGTCCAGATGTATGAACATTTCTCCATCCCCATGAAAAAGGATGAAAAAGTGTTATGCATTTTTTCAAACCTCAAATGTATACATTTCCCTATAAATTAGATTCTATTTGTACTCTATTTGTTTCTTATCAAACTTCCCTCTCAGTATATAAGGCCATGCATGCTTTATGTTCAGGAAAAATAATTTAGATCAAACAGTTAAAATTGAACTAATTATTTCCTCTCAACTCATAAGCAGAGGGTTGTTTCCCCTGCTAGTGAAACTTTGAATGGATCTCATCTTAAGAACAGAAGCAGTGCTACCAGTTACATCAGATAAGGGGACTGCTGAAGATATTTGAATAATGAGGGAGCCCACAGCTTGTGAGAAAGGAGGTGGAAGTGTATGGATATAACTATTTCAAGGAGTCCTTCATGCAGCTGCGGATCATGTGATGAATCAAAGGATGAAAAGATGATGGTTAGATGCTTTAGATGTCTCTGTTACACAGAATATAAACTCTGAGCATTTGTATATAAAACAGGAAACATTATAAACTGTAAAGAAATGTAGCTGTATTTTGTATTTTTATTGCTTATATAAATACATTAATTTGGACAATGTAAACTCATCAAAGGCCATTTTCTTAAAAATGTGAATCAAGGGGTTGAGCTAATGTGTTAATGGCAGTAGAACTTCCCATTTGGAAAGAAATGTGATGCATGCATTTGTGGTACACTGAAATTCTGTTAACAAGCAACCCCACAATAGTACATTACAAAATTCTAAAAGGCTTTCAAAATGGCTTGCTGTCTTACTAACAATTTATTGTATTTTTGAAATCTGATTTTAAAAACAACCAGTCCAAATCAATTTTGATCTTCCCATTTAAGATGTTGTTTTAAATTCAATAGTGAAATTTCCAGCCATATTTGAAATTGGCCCTTTTAGATTGGTACATCCCTGATGAAGGGCTGTGTTCTGTCTCATTTAGGGTGAACTATAAGTCCTGCAAACCCAGTTTTAAATTCTCCCTTCGTAGGGCTTCTTACTATGAAATATCTGTTGATGATGGTCCATGGGAGAAACAAAAAAGCTCAGGTCTCAATATATGCACTGGAACAGGATCAAAAGCATGGTAAGTTGGGTGTCTTCCTAAAGTACTAGTTATTTTGCTATATTTTCCAGAATGAGTAGTGAGATTTTTGTAGAAGATACATTATGCTTATATCAAAAGAAAACTTCATGAAATTGCATAACTTACAAATTACTTTGAGCAGATACATTTCCAAAACAGTAATGCTACATAACCTTATCCCACTTCCATGTAACTTGATTGAAAACAGTTCTGCCTCCCAAAATGCATAAATACAATGTTAAGAATATTTATGGCAGTAACAAAACAAGAGGATTTATGCGTAGGAGTTAATTTTCAGTATGAACATTTATATTGTAGCACAGAGGATGAGGATAAGGAAAGTATTGCAACTATAGTTGGTCCACGTAGATAAGCCCTTCTGTTTCTGATTTTAGGTCTTTTAATATCAACAAAGTAGCAAATCAGGCTGTGGAAGAAATCCTTAAGATTGGTGAGTTGCTGGTAGACGGTCCGTTAGCACCAAAACCAAAGTACAGAAACGATCACATTTTCAACCCTCCCAAATATGCTTCAAATACCAATTTTGAGTTTCCCTGCAACTCTTTTCAGCCCCCTTACCCCTCACCAAAAGCTAAAGATAGCGGTGTGTACTGATTTGTTCTCTTCCTTGGCTTTAGATTCCTATCTTTTTTCATTTAGGGGTCTTTTTACCTACTTCTTCACTTTTTCCAGATGCAGATGATACTTTCAGTTTGGAAATAAGACCCATTTGAAGTGAAATAGGTTGGGAAGACACAGAAACCTCAGATACATGGGAATGAACTCTGGGGAGACCAATGAGTCATTTCAGGGGCAAAGTATTATAAATGACTCAAAAGGTTGTGGAAAACTATTTCAGGTCTTCAAAAACAGTGTTGGGGAATGAATGTGGCTCTAAAAGTCCCTATCCCTGGATTAAAAGAACCATAATTTATAATACTAGCATATTGTTCAATGAGTTTTCTAAATTAGCTGTGTTTGAAGGTTTCCTCTTGACTTTATTTATTTATGTATTTATTTCAGTTGCTTCTACCTCACCCCGGGGGGGGGGGGGGACTCAGGGCGGCTTACAAAAGCAAGGCACAATTCGATGCCCGCATCACATAACAGCAAAAGACAATAACATCAGTTAACAAAGACAGCAATTCTAGCAATAACAACAATTAACAGAAAACATTAAGTCTAGTCGAGTCTGACTCGGGGGGGGGGGGGGGGGGTTGCTCATCTCCATTTCTAAGCCAAAGAGCCGGCATTGTCTGTAGACGGCTCCTAGGTCATGTGGCTAGCATGACTGCTTGGAGCGGTGTTACCTTCCCGCCAAAGTGGTACCTATTGATCTACTCACAATTGCATGTTTTTGAAGTGCTAGGTTGGCAGATGCTGGGGCTAACAACAGGAGTTCACCCCATCCCACGTATTTGAACTGCCGACCATCCAGTCAGCATGTTCTGCATCTCAGCGATTTAACCCACTGCAGCCCCTTAGCTGTGTTTACCTATGTACATTTTTTTCTTGGAAACTTGGCTGGCTGTTATAAATTTACTCAGAAGAAATGGTTAATGCTATAAATACTTGTTGTGTGCTTTCAAGTCATTGTCACTTGTGACAAGCTTAAGGGGAACCTTTCATCAGGTTTTCTTGGCAAGATTTGTTCAGAGGAGTTTTTGCCATCCTCTGAGGCTGAGAATGTGACTTGCAGGGGGTTTCCATGGCCAAGCCGGCACTTGGGTCCTAGTCTCCAGAGTCTGTTCACCTTGCTGGCCCATATACTACATACATACTACATACATATTGTTGCAATAGAAATAAATAGAAATAAAGTAACCCCTCCCAGTCCCTCATATGTAAAGATGCTTTAGTTCCTGTTTTTAGGTCAATTTATAAATAATATAATATTTTACAAATCAAGCTGAAACAAAAACTGTTGAGTTTTGTATTGCAAAATATTACTTTTCTGCCCCATGATACTCGTTATCTAACAAATGCAGAGTATAATTGTTTATAATCATAAGTTGTTTCTTTGATTCAATAGCCAAAGGTTATGACAGCTTAAATCTTCCACTGAGCAAGGAATTAATCCAAAAAGGTAAGACATGTTTTAGCAAGTTTGAAAATGTTTGCAGGCAGGGCTTGATCTTTTGAAAAAGCTGTGAGCCATTTTGGGAATACAGGCAGAATTTTGACATAAACAAATGAGATTTCATGATTTTTCTACTTCAAGCTTGCACATTTTGCATTTAAGGGTTTTATTTACTAGTGCTCATTGGTCACTATAATTTAAATTTTTTTGTTTTATATTGTTTCCAAAATCTTGAATATAACATTAAAGAGTTTGGAAACAATATTAATCAGACAAATAGAACTAACATTGATTTTAAAACTCCTCGTGACAGGCATATGTTTTTTCCGTTATAAATGAGAGTTAAAATGGCAAAAAATAACGAGGGTGAAAATAACATGCAAAATTTTTTATTTCCTATGTTTTTCAGGATTGGAGCAAAAATGATATTAGTCAAGGCACAGTAGATTTGAGAATGTACTGTTTAGTCTTCTGCTAATTTATAGAACTTGACAATCTAACTTCCGTACTTTCAGTAACAGATGGATATAATGAATCTCTGCTGTATAGTCCAGAGGAACCGAAGATGCTTTTCAGTGTACGAGAACCTATTTCAAACCGTGTTTTTTCAAGTAGCCGGCAGCGAGGTTTTGCTTCAAAGTAAGTATTTAATTTAGTAAGTACCTAACGGAATTCACTATTTCATTTGTAATTTAGATAAAACACTTATATTTTGTCTTGAATCAGGACTTGTGTCTGAAACAAATCTTGTTTTTCATTATAAAATGTTAGAATTTTTTTAAAAAATAAATAATGCTGTCCAATAAAATTTAATAAATAAAAAGGGATAATGATTCTTTGAAATAATAAAAAAACAAAATATTGTATTAACTCCCTTCATCTTGATGGTCTTCTAATGTTTTGGACTGACACTCCCATCATCTGCCCATTGATTATGCTGGCTAGGGCTGATGAGAATAATGATTCAGCCTGGAGCGCATTGGATTTGATAGTTTTACTACCTTCATTATTACATTGTTTAGGAGGAGCAAACAATTTTTTAAAATAGAGCCTCTATAACTATGTGCTGTAGTTCATAAAACCTAGAATGTGTTTCTCTCTTTCCATATACACTCTGAGCAGCTCCCTCATGCAAAGCCCTTCCTTTTGGAAACTGATCCAATTGAATGTGTTCTGTTGTCACCTTTTGTACCTGATATTTCCTTCTTGGAGGAAAAAGATCATTGAGCTTAAAGAAAATTGTTCCCTTTGCAAACCAAAAAAGACTTACTATGCACTTCCAGGACAGATGGGATCTCTTTCCAAAATATAGGACCAAGATAATTGTGCTTTTTCAAGGCTGGCTATTCAAAGGACAAACAATGGGAATGAGAGATCGGTGAAAGAACAGGCATGAAAGGCTCTTTAACACAGCCCTATATCCCAGAATATCAAGGCAGGACATCCCACAGTTCAAAGCAGATTATTATGGGATTTTCTGCCTTGATATTCTGGGATATAGGGTTGTGTGGAAGGGCCCTGGGTCTCACCTCTCTTGAAAGAACTGGCATTCTACTTCCCTGCAGTTGCTTTTCTGCAGCATAGTCTGTCAGAAGTGACAAGGAAGATTTCTCTGTTGAGATGGAAAATGAGACATGATGGATCATTCCCCTTCTTTCAAGTGCATGGGGGAAAAAACTATCGAGAAAAGGTCTCCCCTTTTAAAGAAATGCTTGCTAGTCTTAACTCAGGAAATGTCTCTTAGCTGAATGTTGTTTTTCCTGTGAGCAGAACAGAAATAAACTATTCAAAAGTATAACTAGCCCTTCTTGATTTTGCGCTGTTTTTCCAGTCAACTGATCACGGAAGGTTTAACTTAACTTTCATAACGTGTTCTTGTAAATGAAATGCTTATCTTATTCGTTTTCTACTATTTTTTCTTTCAATATATTTTCAGAGTTTGCATCCGCTCTCGATGTTGGGATGCCTGTATGGTGGTAGATGGAGGAACTTCATTTGAATTTAATGATGGAGCAATAGCATCAATATTGATCAATACAGAAGACGCATTGCGTACTGTTTTGTTAGAAGAATGAAGGAACTTTTGGAAACACTCAAAACTCAAATCACAAAGAAGGGATATGCTACACCATTTCAGATGAACACTTCAAGCATTTGGAAAACAACTATTGAAATGGGTTTTCATTTCTTTTGGCTGAGAATTTCTTGGTAAATCAGTATTTGTCCTTTACTTTCATAACAAAAGATAGGTTGGAGGTTTACATCTAATGCCAACAAGCTCATGACTGTAAAATCTTAAAGTAGTAGGTTGCTTCTAAAACTAAAGCAGGGAGTATGGATATTAAACTCTGCAGTTCTATGAATCTGTCTAATACAGTGGTTCTCAGCCTGTGGGTCCCCAGGTGTTTTGGCCTACAACTCCCAGAAATCCCAACCAGTTTACCAGTTGTTAGGATTTCTGGGAGTTGAAGGCCAAAACGTCTGGGGACTCACAGGCTGAGAACCACTGGTCTAATGCCAAGTGAACAAAACACTCTGAGTTTGTTGCAACATATTTACATCAGATTCTAAAAGCAAAGGTCAAAAGGTAATTATTATTTTTTTAAGTTAGGTCGGTGTTTAAGTTACTGCGTAAGAATTTGAGGTATTCCTTTTGTAGACATGAAGAATTTTGCTTCTGTCATATTTGAAATGGATGTCATTACCCTAGTTTTCTAGCCTTGTTTTCATAGATCATCAGGATTATCTAGTGTCTAAACCCCCTTTCAGTTTGAGTAATGCACTGCCTGTTTCTTTGGCAACTTAATTAAGGGTATCTCTCATTCTTCTTTACCTTCTTACAGTGTGGGTTCATATATATATATATATTGGACTAAACTGGCTTCTGAAAAAGATTTTTCAGTAAATTCCCTGTTTTTTTCTTAGAAAATTTGTATAGTAAATATGTTATGCAAGATGTTTCATACTTAATCATTAAGTATTCCAAGTTTTTAATTAGGCCTCAACCCAGATCAGAATGAGAAGGCCCTTCTCCCTACTGTGCTGAAGGCCTGCAATCAGGATACAAGCTGGTGCTGTTGGTTTACCCCTCCAAAGCATGCAGTTGAGTGTTAGGCCAAATTACATTGCCATATAAGTTTGGCAATTGCATCCCTCACCCTAAACGGGGAAAAATTGTGAGTTTGATTGTAATTGGAGAAAGTGCACAATGCTATTCCTTTTAAAGTTTCACGTGCGACTGACAGCTTGCGTTGTTTTAAAGGTACCTAAAAAGCAAATCTATACTTTCAAAGAAGGGAAATAGTCAAACATCTTAAAATGCACTCATTTGTCAATGAAACCTGTTTAGAATGTCTTTTTTAATGAGCAGAGATGAACAAACACCACATGGATATGGTAGGAATCAGAATTCACAATTGGATAGAACAAACCATAGAATTATAACATGGCAACTATTGTTTATTTAATTTAAACTATCATTTCTTTATTTAAATCAGCTATATAGCTATTTTAGCAAATATGGTACTCACTAAAGTATTAGCTGACACTATTTAAGCACAGGTACAATGCAAACTGTGAGAGTAATGTCAAATGGATTCACTGTTCATGTTTAAAATAGGGATAACAAATCTCTGCGTAAGTCAAGAAAACGTTATTGTTTCCCCTTAATTAACATTAAGTATGCATATATTTTCAACACTAAACAATTCAGAAATTTTGGAAAAGGTTGCGCTTTACAATTAGGATAGGGCTTTTGGTAGCCTGGACAATTGTGATATTAATCTTTAGCCCTTAAACTGTACTGTGAAGAACCTGACTCATTGTGTAATACACCCACTAAATTTTGTGCTGCAAAATGATAATCTGCTGCTAACCATAGGTATTTGGCTGCATGGTGGGTATACATATGTGGGGCTTACTTGCTCATAATGTTGAGAGCAAGGAAGAAAAATGCAGACCATAAGTGGATCCTGTAATCATTAGTTCAAAATGATGAAAGCTGTGAAATCAATCTGATGGGATTGCAAGTTTTTTTTCAGTTTAATATAAAGTTTAGATTGCTAATCGAGGAGCATGAACATTTGCACATGTTTGAGAAACTTCCACAATCCCCTCTCCTGCATATACACACTTCATGTGGACACAAGGGTAAAATGCAGTGCCCCAATTGGACCGTATCCACAATAAAAGTGAATCATGAAAAAGGATACTCAGTGTGTATTTTACTGTGCCAAAACAATGAAGGATTTAATGTTGTATGTAAAGATCCGTACAATTGCCTACCTTAAGTCAAGAACAAAGAATTTCATGAAGTCACTAGGGGAAGAGCAAAGCCTTAAACGTCCAAATGATAAAAGTTCTTTGAAGTGACCTGTGAAATACAAATGTGCAGAGCCCAAGATTTCTTAATCCATGCACTTTCAGTCATTATGAGCCCTATTTTATGTCTCAGGGAAGTTCTTTTCCTATGCATTAGGAACTGGAGAGTGGCATGGCGTAAGAAAACCACAATAGCAGTTGTAATTTGTGCTGGCTCTTGCTTCAGTAAGGTTGTACCAGATTGGAATTGGTACTAGCTGTATTTGAATTTAATTCAGTTGATTTTAAAACAAAGCAGAAGAGGAGTGCATTCTAAATTGACTGAATTTCTTAATTTCTCATTTGTTCTCTCCCACCCCAACTTGTTTATTCATAGTGACTGTAGTTTAGGAAAATAGTACTGGGGGGCAAGTTAAATGTTCCCCAGTTGGGTTGCATTTAGTGTATTTAAAATCAATGCTTCAAAAAAAGTTGATCACTTGTAAATTTCTTAGTCTAATATTGATTCTCACCTGAATAAAATCGTTTGTTAAAACAAGACAATCTCTATAAAATGTATTTTTTGTAAATAATAATATAAATTGCTTTGCGCTGAAGTCAACAAGGTAATTTATATGATAGACTAGAATATGTGGAATTTGTGCAAATGCCAAAATCTAATAAAACTATCCTCTCAGTGTTGTCTAATTCCAGCATGTCATGTATTTTTAATCAATTTTATTGAAAAATAGCATTGGGATTGGTTATACTAAGAAATAATGTATGTGGTTGGTAACTAAATGTAATGTGAATTAGTGTTTTGGAAGTATTGTATGTTTTGTTGTTGTTGTTGTTTTGAGGATTTATTCATATGCAAACAACTAGTATTTAGCCAAACAGAAAATGCTTTTTAGAATCTTATACAAATTTTGCCTTTTTAAATTCATGTCTTAAACCAAAACGTGCTTACCCATAAGCTCTTTAAGGTAACTATGTCCTTCATGACTCCTTCAGATAGCCATGGCCAAAACCCAATTGTTAGCATCAAAATGGGGCAAGGCTTGCTAAATTGTTAAATCAATACTTATGTAAGTCCTATTAATTCAATATATTTTCAACTGGAAATACCTGTTGGGTTTAGGTTAATGTCTCCCATAAGAAAATGCTTTTTCTACTTAAATATATATAGTCCACTACTATGATAGAAACAGGAAAAGTGCTATGTATATAATCAGTCATTTTATTAAAAATTAAAATAGTCAAACTGTAAAAATACCTATGACAAAATAAAACCTTTGTTCTTTTTTTAACCTGCTAAGATTGCTCACTTCCATTATATTCCTTCCTACTCAGCCATCTAGTCTGATTTGGCAGTCTTTTATACGGAACTTTGTAGTAGCTTGAAGTAAAGGAGAATGGGTGAGCTGTGGAGATTTCCTTCCTTAGGTAACAGCAAAATGAAAATGACATTGTTGAACCCTGCTTAGATTCTAAATAATAGTGTAGCAGACATTGCAAACAGACTACCCTTTGTTCCATCTTGCACCAAATCCAGAAGTTTCAAGTGGATATTTAAGTTGACCATCATTGTCCAACCTGTCTTCAATAGCAAAACTCCCATCCCTCAGGGTGACTGCATGGAGGGGTAGGAATGTTAGACCTCATCTTAAGCTAATGAATTGTTTTGAGACATCTGTAACTACTATTAGTTTCAATCTGATTCATTTCAGTGTGCTACCAATTAGGTATAAAAGTCTTTCAGACCTAACATAGGAAGCCCTAAAAGTTCAGGAAACCTATGTGCCAGAAATTCTTATCCTCATAACTTATATAGAGGTTGTAGACTGAGTAAATAAATATATGTATTTCTGTGAGCAAATGATTGGAATCAGATGGACTTTATTTTCCATACCCTCTGAACTTTGAATTATGATGTTAGGTTCCTGCGGAGGGAAAATAGTAATGGAACACACTGATAAATACCTTCTAGAGCAGTGGTTCTCAACCTGCGGGTTCCTAGGTGTTCTGGCCTACAACTCCCAGAAATTCCAGCCAGTTTATCAGCTATTAGGAATTTTCAGAGTTGAAAGCTAAAACATCTGGGGACCCACGGGTTGAGAACCACTGTTCTAGAGCTATCCAGTAATGAAGTGACTCCTGTATTCTAGTCTTTATGATTACTGAGACTTTCTAAACAACTATCTTTCCCAAGATTATTTTTCCTATGTAGAGGAAGAAACTTGGGCTTAGCCAGAGGCACCCATTCCCATTTCATATATTTATCTTTCCACCTTAGAAGCAGTTTAGGCAGGTGTATCCCCCCGCCTCTGGTCAATTATTCTAGGAGGCAAGGAAAGTATATTGAAGATTCTGAAAAGGATGCTCTTTCCAGGACACAAGAGGTTGCTGTCTTTCCATATTGACAAGCTGCTGTTACAAGGAAAAGTGACAAATCTCTACACTATTTTCATATTCCATCTCAACCCCACAAAAAAGGAGAGCCTCTGAAGACAGGTATACTTGTATGTCGCCAGTGATACAGCCTCAGAGGAATCACTCAACTATGTAAATGAAAATATCTAAATCTGCTTAGTATATCTTTTAAAATCATGTTTCCAGAGACCGGTAATGCAAGTTGCTTGAACACCAGCACTTTGTACATGATTAGCCAGTCATGGATAACCTTGAGTTAAAATAGCAAAAATACATTTAAAAAACAAATAGTAAAGCCACCTGATGGTACATGTCTATAAATCAAGTCAGTTGCAGCAGTTGTAGACTGCATATTATGAGGTTTAAAACCCAATTTTGAAGAAGTCCAGGTTTAGCATCACAACTGTTGCTAGTAGTGGAAAATGTTTTTCAAGTCATGTTAAAAGCCAGCTGGGCTTTTCAAGCTCAGTCTACAATGAATGCCCCAAATTTGTTCATTTTTCTTGCAGCCGACGGTGGGTCTTGCAACTGGTGTAAAATGAGAGGAGTTGATTCTTAAACGAGGAAATGTTGCTTTTAAAAGTTGTAGGAAGCCAGCAGTCACTATTCCAAAAACTTGGAGCGTTTTGAGCGTAGCTAGTTCACCAAATTCCCTGGAATGAAAAAAAAAAAAAACTTAAATGAAGAGAAAAGTTAGAAAATAGAACAATTCTTTATATTTTATATTAGAAAATAGAACAACTCTTTATATTTTATTATGAATACAATGGTGCCACTTGCTGAAACAGCATAACATCGATTAAATCTCAAAAGTATGTGCATTTGGAGTAAGTGGGGCATGCTTAAGAGGGAGTGAAAAACCACAGTAATTAAATGTGCTTAAGGACAGATGTTACTTGTTCATATATCCGATTTACAGCATTTTATTCTTTCCGTTATAACACAGTATTTAAGAAAAATAAAACAAAAATCAAAAAAGGTGATCCACCCCTCAAGTTGTCAGAAAAACAAGTTGAATCAGAAGAATCGCGGACACACTAATAGTCCTTTTCCCCTCCTGTTTTGCAGCTGGAGCCAAAATTCTCCATGCATGTTTATTTGATGGCAAATTAAAACCACAAAGGAGGGTAGCAAGGAGTCTCCATAATAAATGCAAACTTTAACACTATAATGTATTATCAAGAGCAATATATTGCTGCATTTCCTCTGAAATATACTCATCTGACTAATCCTAAGTATACTGACTCCAGGGAGTGAGTAATGTGGCATTCAGATTTTGTTAGATCGCGCATTCCAGCACTAGCCAGCATAGTTAACAATGAGTTACATTGGGAATGGAAGTCTAATAACAACATCTGGAGGGCTGTATCTGTTCTACAGAAATATAGATTTAAAGTAGGAAGTTACTCACAGTAAGGCCGCTGGTGATATCTGATAGCATCGACTGAGACTCAAGTGCTCAAGATGTGTGAGCTGCTGGAAGTACTGAAAGCAGTCAGGCTTCAACATAACACTGTCACTGTAATGAAAGCATTTATTTAATCACATTCTATACACATTTGAAATATAACAGGCTGACAGCATAAAAATGCAGTGCGAATGTAATTTTCAAATTCTGTATTCAAGTCTGTTAGTTATCAAAGGAATTTATACTGTCAAGATTCAACGACGTAGAAACTGGTTTTATGCAGGGCAACAAAATCATGACAGACTTAAAAGCAGCTTGGAAATTAAGTGTGCTGTCCATAATGCACTCCTTGGGACCAAATAAATCCTACATGAAATACAATTGCACCCTTCATTAGCATAAAGTATGTAAGGATATATAAATCCTCATCCTGATTTAGCGATACTGAGAATCGGAGTTCTATCAGCAAGAAGTGGGTCTATAGGTGGTCAGTTTCAGGAGCCAGATTTCTATTTGCTCTCTGCTTGACCTACTTATCTCAGCCATTTGACCAGGCTAAATAAAACTGCAGAGTAGCTAGCGACCATTTATTCTCTTCCCCTTTTCATCAGTAGTGACTTCCAACTTCTATCAAGAGAGGCAAAAACTATTTTTGTACTACAAAATGTAAAGTGAAGGCATTTCATCATGTTGAGCATCCCAACCAGTGTGGGAAATGGTATGAAATACTGGGAGATGTAGTCAACTGCATCTGGTGGGCAACACATTATTATTCCACCCCTGTACACTTGGGAATCTTTTGGCTCCCTGCCATTTTAATTACATCAACTTGTGCAGTGGCTAGTAGGATTATTTTATCTACATCTGCTAGAGGTTAATACAGGTCACCTCTGTTCACATTTCACAGGGTGAGGATAAAAGTGCTGGTATTCTCACCACACCATGTTCACATTCTTGCAAGCATTTTCCCCAAATCTAAGCTGAAGGCAGTTCTCCATTGATACGTACACAAATACTCACAGATCTAACGTTCTGTAGTATACGTTTTGCCATACATATAACACTAAGGCACATGTACTTTATCAAGGTGGATTCCAGTTTGCAAGTAGGCAACTGAATAACCTGGCCTGTAACAATACTATTGCTTTAGCTGAATTGTACGCAGACTGGTTTGGGCAAATATTCTCACCATGGCAAGTGTGGCATTTCCCCCTGCTGATCATGATCCATAGAATGCCTCCTGTCCCATTTTTGAAGCTGTGTAAATTAATTGGGATCATCATAGCGTGTTTCTCATGACCCTTCTTCCAATCCAGAGCAAAAGGTGAAAATATGCTTCCTGCCTGGATTGTGAACATTTTAGTTTTTGTTACGTTTTCTAGCATACCACCAGCATTTTTGTGAGATACATCTGTTTTTCAGCAGTACTCTTCCAGACCATATACTAGATAAACTCACAATCTTAATGCAAACCCTGGAGCCAATGCTCATCTGCCCTGAAAAGCAAAAATGCACCCTCCCACATTCTTTGCTTCTGAACAAAGGTCGGTTCTTGGTAGGCTAATAAGTCCAGCCAAAATTGTAGGCTGCTGAAGCAGGCTGAAGTAGTCAAGTCTATCCCAGCGTTCTATATATCTGATGTTTTTGACTGAAAGTTATATTTCTTCCTTAATTTATTCTTCAGAGTAGTTCTTCACCAAGAAGAAACGTGTTGTAAGTCTCAAATTCTTACCTTAAATCTAAATGGACCAAATTTGGACACTGCTCCGTTAATGTTTTAACATCTGAAACAACAAGCCCAATACAATCAGCTAATCACACATAAGAATAAAAATGCATCTACAAGCACCACATTTATAGTTATATATCAATGCACTTTCAAGCACTGTTTTGTTTTTCAAGTTTGCATCAATAAATGACAAGTTGAGTTTCCATTACCCGAAATGCTTGAAACCAGATTTTTAAAAAAGATTTTTAAATAATTTCATTTGCATATTCATAATTAATGAAATATGGAGGGAAAGGGGGCTAGTCACACATCCAGTGCACAATTATTTTTCCCCTCAAGAAACCTTGATACAGGAAAGAGACAAGTGGGAAGGCCTCCACTTATATAAGGCCTGTGTAAAAAAAACAAAAACAAACAGACATCCCATATACTTCCTGAGCTGTCAGCATATTTTTTGCTCTTTAAATAAAGTAGCCAGAAAGGAAAGGAACTCCCCCACCCTCCCCAAGGCACCTTCATTCTTAATGAGCTTCAAACAGACAGTGGCCAATAGGATTGCTCCACAATTGTATCTTATTTCACCGCATTGTATGCCATAATTGGTGGGAACTGGATGTGTGACTAATCCCCTTTCCCCAAAGGCAAAAATGGTCGGCTGGTGGTAAAAAGGATTCTGAGTATCAAATTTCTAGATGAGGGAAACTCAACCTGTATTTATGGTGTTGTGGGGAAAACAAAGAAATATCTCAAGATACAAAGCATGATAAAGTGAACATAAATTTGACAGGGTGTTTTGTGACTTTCTCCAAAGGGACAGGGACACTACCAAGTTATAATTCAGTGCATCCATGTCTGGTTATAAGATACCGCTTGCTGGCAGCAATTAACACAAGTAGCTCAGCATCGCTTTCTAGGCAGAAGGTCTCAAATTCAATCTCTGGTATCTCTAGGCAAAGAAGTGTGATTGAAGCTCTCAGAAGAGATGAACAATCAGGAAAGACATTAGATATAGATGGATCAATGGGTTTTATGCCAGCTTCCGAATACAATGATACATATTCAGCAGATTTATTTCCCATGTTATTTAGGGAATAAAATATAAAGTTGTGTTATATCAATGTACTTGATATAATCTGAGGCAACATCAATGTGGATCGCAAATAGCTTTTTGAGTTACTACTTCAACCGGAATGATAACTGGCAGTTCAAACTGGATTCTTACCTGACATCAGAAGATTCTGTCTGTATCCACTAAGATTTAGCTGTGTTACTTTTGAAGGAATATGGCTGACAGCTGCTTTCACATGATCGACTGTGAAGTCACACCAGGACAAATTCAGTTCTTCTAGACTGTGCACAATTGGGAGAAAGATCCATATAAAGTCATGCATTTATTTACCATTTAGAAAGCATCAGAAATGTTAAGGCAGGCATGAAGAACTATTAGCCCTCTTGATTTCAAAATTCCAGAAGCCTCTGTGACTAGAGAAATGTCGTAATTTGTAGCCTAAATAATCTCAAAGCCCAAAGATTCCTTATCACTTGTATACATGCTACATACATGTTTATAAAGTAAAATGGTAAACAAGATCCATATTTATAAAAAAAAACATCTAATGAAAGTGAGCAGCACTCAAAGAGAAAGTACTCATCAAATTAAACTGCTTGTTCAGTAAGCTTATGGGATTTGTAAAAAATCTTCTCTTTGTCAGTTTCTAAGATGCTACAAGACCCCTTTCCATACCAATCATGCTTAGTCTACAAAGAAATGAGAAACAGATCTGGATTCTCCTTCTTATTTCCTTGTTGCTATGAGTCTTCCGGATAGCCCGGAAAACCCACAGTAACCCAGACCAGAACTATTCTGCACCCAGTCAGAAGTGTGTGGTACCTCTAAAGCACTGGTTCCCAACCTTTTATTGACCAGGGACCACTTTCCAACAAGGGTTACAAACCAGTTTTAGGTCAATTTTAGATTTGGTTTGGTTATTGGGGGTGCTGATTCAGAAAATTGCATTGGATAGATCTCATCAGCTCTAGTTTCTGATACAGAACGCATGCCATCCAGTAGTCACAATCTGCTCGCCCACAGAAAACTATATTTAATAAGCCTTTACTAGACCAGTCGATCTCATTGCAACGGCATAGTAATGGATCAAATGTTGGTTCTTGCAGACCACTGGTGGTCCACGGACCACAGGTTGAGAACCACTGCTCTTAAGTGAGCAAATGCTCCAAGTAAGAACTAAATGTCCACTTTAAAAGTTCACTGAAAATGAATAGGCTGAGCAAAAACTGATGCATTTCTGTAGGAATAATATGCACCTAGCAACCCCCTAGCAGAATGGCCGTTGTTTTTCACTCAAATAGGCAACTGTCTTCAAGTGAACAAACAGCCAACCAGTAAATCCTTTTTTTATTTAAAATGCAGGAGGAAACAAAAGTGGACATTTAGTTAACAAATGCGAAGTTGCATCTGTATCTTTATCACCGAGACTTCTAGAATTGTAGTTAGAAGTTATACCAATGCATTCAGTTAGGACTGTATTGGTCCAGGGTTCTTTTTTCCTGTAATTCAATATGCTTTAAATTACCTGGGACAGCTGTTCAACATTGCCTCCAAGGTTTCTGCAGAAAATCCAGAACATCCAGAGAGGTTTAGTCGTACCAAGCTGGAGTTCTGTGCTATACTTCTGAGAGAGAGAGGGGAAAATGACAGTGATTAGGTCAATTATTAATCTCTTATATCCCATCTTTTTGCAACACTGGACTAAAGGTAGCATAAAAGGTAAAGGTTTCCCTTGACATTAAGTCTAGTTGTGTCTGACTCTGAGGGTTGGTGCTCATTTCCATTTCTAAGCCAAAGAGCCAGTGTTGTCCATAGATACCTCCAAGCATGACTGACAGAAACAATACTTATTGATCTACTAAGAGGAGACATGATGGCCATGTATAAATATGTGAGGGGAAGTCATGGGGAGGAGGGAGAAAGCTTGTTTTATTTAAAATGCAGGAGGACACAAAAGTGGACATTTAGTTAACAAATGCGAAGTTGCATCTGTATCTTTATCACCGAGACTGCTGCCCTGGAGACTAGGATAAGGAAAAATAGCTTCAAACTACAGGAAAGGAGTTTCCACCTGAAGATGAGGAAGAACTTCCTGACTGTGAGAGCTGTTCAGCAGAAGTCTCTGCCACGGAGTGTTGTGGAGGCTCCTTCTTTGGAGGCTTTTAAACAGAGGCTGGATGGCCATCTGTCAGGGGTGCTTTGAATGCAATTTTCCTGCTTCTTTATGAGGGGTTGGACTGGATGGCCCATGAGGTCTCTTCCAACTCAATGATTCTACTCACATTTGCATGTTTTTGAACTGCTAGGTTGGTAAAAGCTGAGCCTAACAGTGGGAGCTCACCCTGCTCCCTGGATTCAAACCACCGACCTTTGGGTCAGCAAGTCCAGCAGCTCAGCAGTTTAACCTGTTGAACCACCAGTGAGCCCACAAAGGTAGCATGCAAATTGAAAATAAATACAAATTGAAAGAAAATACACAAATATCCATGAAATACATATATTGTTTTTTAAATAAATTTAAACAATCTATGGAATTAAAACTAATCCAGTAAAACAGAAGATGAACAATAAGACCAGAGGCAATTAAAAAAGAACATTGCAATGTATTTCTAAAAATTTGTTCAGATGGAAATGTTTTTACTTGCTGGTGGGAGGTATTCAGCAGAGGCCCCTTCTACACTAGCAAGGAGGTATTCAGCAGAGGCCCCTTCTACACTGACATTCAATCATCAAAGCAGATAGTCCACATTATCTACTTTGAACTGGGATATATGAGCAATATAATCCAGTCCAAAGCAGATAATCTTGATTTTATATGGCAAGTCCCATTAAGAAGGCTCTCTTCTTCACTCCCTAAAAGTGTGTCTAGAAAGGTGGTGGGACTTTAAGGGCCTCCCACTAAACACTAAAAACCTAGACAGACTCATGTAGGGAGATATAGCCCTTCAGACTAATCCTTGTATCTCCGAGATAACACACGTATAAATATCACACAAGTTTCTTGTGCAGAATCCTAAAGAATTCTTTGACCACTTACTCCATTATGTTGTCAGAGAGCACAAGCCCTTCCAAACTGAGGTTCTGTAGGCTCCAACACCTGCTAAGGATGCTTTGGAGATCGGCAACTTTTATTGTGCAGTTGGATAAATCCATGTGCTGTACCCGAAGGAGTCTGAATCCATAGGTTGCACCAAAAGGAGCCCATGGGAGAGGAATACAGGAAAACGAATATAGATTTTATAAGAACACAATCGAAACGTCCATACATCCATTCAAGCTGTCTTATACTGAAATTCTCAGGAGCATATAACTCAGTGGTTCCCAACCTTTTATCCTCCAAGTGTTTTGGACTTCAACTTCCAGAAATCCCAGCTGTTAGGAATTGTGGAGGACCAAACGTTGGGAACTAGGAATATAACTTCTGTAATGTCTTACTACTGGCCATGCTGGAATAAACTGTATAGACTGGAATGTCTGGAAGCTACAGATAAATACTTTTGTTTAGATTTACTACACTGTATGACAGAGTGATCAAAGCACAGTCATAGGGCCACATGAAATCCACAAGGCCTTAAGTCAGTGGTTCTCAACCTGTGGGTCCCCAGGTGTTTTGGCCTACAACTCCCAGAAATCCTAACAGCTGGTAAACTGGCTGGGATTTCTGGGAGTTGTAGGCCAAAAACATCTGGGGACCCCAGGTTGAGAACCACTGCCTTAAGTTATTCCTGATTTCCTAGATCAGTGGTTCCCAACCTTTTTTTGACCAGGGACCACTTGATCAGAGACCCCTTTGACCAGGGACCACTATCCAACATTAGTACCAAAAGGGTTACAAATCAGTTTTTGGTCAACTTTAGATTTGGTCTGGTTATTTGGGGTGCTGATTCAGAAAATTGCATTGGATAGATCGCATCAGCCCTAGTTTCTGATACAGAACATATGCCATCCATTAGTCGCCATCTGCTCACCTACAGAAAACTATATTTAATAATTTAGAGCTGATGTAGTTGTAGTAATCTTTTGTGGGTAGTCAGCCTCTCCCCTCTCGACATCCCCATTGTAAGACCAGTTGCTCTGATTGCCACGTGGTTTTGAGGCAATGGTGTAGGCTGCGGACCATGTTTTTGTTCTTGTGGACCACAGGTTGGGAACCATTGTCCTAGATTGTCCTTCAGCCAGATTATGGAAGCTTCCTGAAGCAACAACAGCTTTTGTGGCATACTTGTTTTTCAAGATAAGGTGTGGCCTTCTAGCCACATCAAGTTCTTGTTCCTCATTGCTTCTCAGAGGGATTTTGGCTATCTGTATTGCCTCTGGAATGTCTTGGGGACAGAAAAGTAGTTCACAGCCTCCCCAATTACTCATGCTGTAATTGCAAATCCTTGTTGTAAACTGCCTTACATAAAAAACAATTGAGCAAGTCAAACTTTGGCCTAAAAGCATTCTGCTTATTCCAAAGGTGAAAATATTTCAGCTGTTTTCTATGTCTCTTCCAAAGTGAAGAAAATTTCTCAGAAAGTGAAGGCAAAGGGGAGAGTAGTTTCTTCACTTTTTACAACTCTTTAGATCTCTAAGTATGTGTTACAGTTCCAAATACTTCCCTCATACAAAAAAGGAATTGTTACATTGGATCCCTTTTCAAGCAAAAAAAAATTTAGTCCCACCTACAGTATGCACAGTAGCAATTTACTCTGGCATTTTAGGACTTTACCACTCTATTGCTATCTTGCTCCACTGCATGTATCAAATGAAACCCTTTCTTCCCAAAGCCACACACCTAGTTTTGGGAGTGAACAAGGATATGAATCAGAAATAAGCTGTTTCTATGCGATCCTATAGGACAGGGCCTTCTCAGTGGTGGCCCCCAGGCTATGGAAATCCCTCCCCAGGGCTATTAGATCGGCTCCCTCCTTCTTGACTTTCCGAAAAAAGTAAAGACCTGGCTCTTTGAGCAAGCTTTTAAGAACGCAGCTGGATAGATAACACGGAACTATGAATGATGAACATGGAATGGCCAGACGGTGTTACTGGATAATGTTTTTAACAGGATGACACCAATGATTATATGTTTTTATGGTTTTTATTTATGTTTTATATTGTAATGTTGATTGTTTTTAATGGCACTTTTATGAATGCCTGGCATTGAATTGTGCCAATCTGTAACCCACCTTGAGTTGCTGTATGGCTAAGAAAGGAGGGCTATAAATATCGTAAATAAATAAACAATAATTTATTTATACTCCACCTTAACTCTCCCACAGGAGACTCAAAGTGGCTTAACATAAAAGTATTAGCATACAATTTAAAATATACAAATATGCAAACATTAGAACAGGATTAAATATAAATATTATTTTAAAATTCCCAGTTAAAAACCATTAAAACATGTTCAAAGTTAAAAAAAAATCAGGCTCACACTAGCTCCAAATCAAGAGGAATTTGCTTATATTCCTAGTGACTTTTTCCCAAGAAAGTTTGCAGCTGTTCAGAAGCTAAAAATGGGTCTGAATGTAAGTCAAGTATTCAAAAACTTTTTCAAAGATACCTTGTTTCAGAACATAATTACCTGTTTGTTTTAAATGAAGGGTTCCCAATGCAAGATCTTGGACAACGGAAGGCAGTTATTCCTAGTGGCAGCAAATGACCGATCACACCTGGCAATAGGTTTCTACCTGCAAGATCGAGAGTCTGCCAAAGTGACTCATCGAGCCTAAAAGAGGACAGTAGTTTACTGGTTAGCAAACCAATGGAAAACTCTTACAGAAATAAGCTCTTAACTGTGTTTATAATAGGCATGGGCAAACCGGCCCTCCAGGTGTTTTGGACTTCAACTCCCACAATTCCTAACAGCTGGTCAAAGTTTGCCTATGCCTGATATAGAAGTAAGCTGGTGATAACCTTGCTTTCAGGTGGTTCAACGTGCACAAACTTCGTTTTTTTTAATTTGTTTACCATATTTTTACCCTCTTCACCCTGAAGAGGACTCAAGGCGGCTTTACACATAGGCAACAATTCAATGCCATAAAAACCCATACAATTTAAATAAACATTCAAATTAAAACTGCAAATCAAAACATTTAAACATTACATCAACTTTGGAAGGAAAGCAGGTGGGACCTTCTGTGCATCATGTGATGGTGCATGGCAGGCCCCGTCCAAACCGTGAAATAAAGTGGCAAAATGGGGCATTTTTGCTCCATGTGAAGAGGTCCTTAGTGTGCATCCATAACATAATCCTGAACGTGTTTCATGCAAAAAAAATGTTTTTAATTATCTATATTACCTTCAGGCTATGTGTATAATGTGACTCCAGACAGGTTCTACATCTCAGGATCTGATCTCAGGTTTTCTGTTTATCCCAGATTGTCTGGCAGTGCAGACGCATATAATCCAGTTTAAAGTAGAAAACCTGGGATCAGATCCTGGGACACAGGGCCTGTCTGAGGACCCTTCCACACAGCCATATAACCCAGAATATCAAGGTAGATAACCCATAATACCTGCTTTGAATTGGAATATTGTGGGATTATCTGCTTTGATGTTCTGGATTATATGACTGTGTGGAAGGGCTCTATGAAACATCAGTGGATTTTGTGTTTAGACTTGAGTCCCATTTCCAAGGTATCTCATTATGTATATAGAGGTATTCCCAAATCCAAACTCTAAAACATTTCTGGTCACTAGCATTTTTAATAAGAGAGACTCAACTTCAATTGCTGATCAGAAACTTGCAGCACTAGCCTTCTAAGGGCCCTTCCACAGAGCCATATAACCCAGAATATCAAGGCTGAAAATCCCACAATATCTGCTTGAACTGGGTTATCACAGTCCACACTGCCATATATTCCAGTTCCAAGCAGAAAATGTAGGATTTTATTTAGCTGTGTGGAAGGGGACATGGACAATAAATAACATCTTGCCATATTTCATGTAGCAAACAAAACCCTCCAGCCCAATATTATGTAAGCTACATAAACTTCACATAAAGACCCAAACAATGTAAAAAAAAATGCTGCTCCTTGCCATATGTGTACACTTATAAATCAAGGCATTCAAGAAATCAATTGTTACTTACGAAAGTCGGTGCCACCGCTGGCAAACTAGGGAAACCTTTAATAGATCAATCAAGGAGAGATATGAGAAGATTCCAAGCAAGAGTTCATCAGGCAAAGCATCCCAAGAAACTCCTGTGGCAGGAGAGAAAAGGCTTCATTATAATTTGACATTACATGTAAAAGTAAATCATCACAAAATCTAGTTCCGCGGCAGTTTTATAAACAGTTATTCTTAAAGATTTATACAGTGCCATCATTTTACATAGTGACTTACAACAACAACAACAACAGCAACAACAACAACAACAACAAAACTAGAAAAATTGTTCCCTGCCCTAACTTTCTAACATTGCTTATTTATTTATTTGTCGTGTCAGGGCAGCCAGTCAATTGTATTACATTTCTAACAGAACAAAACAAACAAACAGACAAAATACAAAATTTGTGAGTTTGGTAGTTGATTAAATGTCCTTTGACCAGTATCTGGCCACTTGGAGTGCTTCTGGTGTTGCTGCAAGAAGGTCCTCCATTGTGCATGTGGCAGGGCTCAGGTTGCATTGCAGCAGGTGGTCAGTTGTTTGCTCTTCTCCACACTCGCATGTCGTGGATTCCACTTTGTAGCCCCATTTCTTGAGGTTGGCTCTGCATCTCGTGGTGCCAGAGCGCAGTCTGTTCAGCGCCTTCCAAGTCGCCCAGTCTTCTGTGTGCCCAGGGGGGAGTCTCTCATTTGGTATCCGCCATTGGTTGAGGTTCTGGGTTTGAGCCTGCCACTTTTGGACTCTCGCTTGCTGAGGTGTTCCAGCGAGTGTCTCTGTAGATCTTAGAAAACTATTTCTAGATTTAAGTCATTGATGTGCTGGCTGATACCCAAACAGGGGATGAGCTGGAGATGTCTCTGCCTTGGTCCTTTCACTATTGGCTGCTACTTCCCGGCGGATGTCAGGTAGTTCATAATTTGAAATAATTAACATGATAGGACCTCTGTCATTGGAGTTGTGCCTGATGATGCACCCATCTTTCCAGTCCGGCAGTGTCCCAACCAAAAGGCTTCCAAGGGTTCAGGCAATCCCTGAGTTACAAACATCTGACTTATAAACAACTCATAGTGAAGAACGGGGGTGAGACAAAAGGAAGGGAGAGAAATCTTCCCCTAGATGAAGAAATTTACTCCTGGAAGAGTAATCATGGGGAAAAGGTATCTCCACTGAGGCTTTATGAACAATCCTTGCTTCCACAACAAGCCCAATTTATCAAAATCCGATTATTACGGAGAAAGTTAGGTGAAATCTTCTGAACAGGGGCACAGACAGCAAGACAAACACCACAGAGATGTTAACCTTTCCCTATACTATCCAAAGATAGATAGATAGATAGATAGATAGATAGATAGATAGATAGATAGATAGATAGATAGATAGATAGACTGGAGTTATACTTAAAAATGTACCTGTTTGGACTTACATAAGAACATACAGAACCTATCTTGCTGCCTGTTTTGGGAAATAGTATCTGCAGGACTCTTCCAGTTATGGGACGTGTCAAGAAGAGGAAGCTGGAGAGATCCCTTGCAATGCTGCAGCAAAGGATCTAGATCAGTGGTTCTCAACCTGTGGGTCCCCAGATGTTTTGGGCTTCAACTCCCAAAATACTAACAGCTGGTAAATTGGCTGGGATTTCTGGGAGTTGTTGGCCAAAACACTTGACGACCCACAGGTTGAGAACCACTGATCTAGATAATTAAATTGTGATGGCTATTATATGACGATGACTATTAAACAATTACTATTATGATTTAAAGCAAATAAGCTGAATCACTTTATTTGTTATCATTAGTAATTAGGAATCCTGAATGTCTTTTTGCGATTCTCGATCTCACCTGCCGCTACCTCCAGGAGCCGCCTGGGTCGGCGGACAATCACGAATTCTGCCTCCTTCACTTTCTGCCGTTTTTGGGGTGGACTCACACACATCAGCAGCTCTTGGGGGGTGTTCTCATTGCCCAGTTTATCCTTAAGGACAGAGACTCCCATGACGGACAGCAGCTCTGACGTCTTGTTGGAATGCCATCCCCATATGAAGTCCGTGTTGACATTGCTGCCCGAATCTGGAATTTCCTGGAGAAGTCTCCTACAAAGGAAGGGAAACACGGTGGTATATAGCTGGCATTTATATTATAAGAAAGTGAAGAACAACGGAAGGAGAGAGCTACAGATATACTCTATTTCCTCAATTCTAATGGCCCTTCCAGACAGGCCCTATATCCCAGAATCTGATCCAAAGTTTTCTGTTTATCCCAGATTATCTGGCAGTGTGGACTCATATAATCCAGTTTAAAGCAGAACAACTTGGATGAGATCATGGGATATAGGGCCTGCCTAGAAGGGTCCCAAGATGCATATTTCCCCTCAGGCTGAGAAGGGTAGCATACAAATATGGTAAATAAATTACAACGCCATAAAACTCTCCAGCAGCGTGCAAAAGAATGAGGAAGTACTCCATCGGTCTCACAAGTGGATGGTGAAGTGACAGTTCCCCCCGGTGGCTGGAATTCAAAATGCATACCCTCATGAAGCTGGAGTGTTAAACAGCCTCTGTGTCTCTGTCTATATATGTTGTGTGTCTATGGCATTGAATGTTTATGTGCATTGTAATCCTTCCTGAGTCCCCTGTAGGGTGAGAAGAGCGGAATATGAATGCTGTAAATAAATAAATAAATAATAAGTGCATTTCTTCTACAGTATAGATCAGGTAGGGGCAAATTTGGATACTCCAGGTGTTTTGGACTTCAACTCCCACAATTCCTAACAGCCTGCCGGCTGTTAGGAATTGTGGGAGTTGAAGTCCAAAACACCTGGAATACCCAAATTTGCCCCTACCTGATCTACAATATATATGCACCTTAAGACATTTGGGAATTACAAACACGCTAGTCCAAACAAAAAATAAGTTTGCAAATCCTAAATAACTTAATGAAGGAACATGTCCATCAAATACTACTGCACCGGATGATGGCTAAAATCCTGAAGCCAAGGGGGAGGAAAGAGGCGCGCGATCCCATCCCTTGTTTTGGGCGGGATCCACTGCGATTCCCCCTGCTCTCCACCCTAATGTAACCACTTTGCACCCATCCGCTTTTACCTGTGCATGGTGCTTGCCAATGGGGCTTTTGCATGGAGAACCAGGACCCCCCGATCCCTTTTTTCCCTCTCTTGCAACGCCAAACCCAGCAAATATTCTCAGCAGCAGCAGCAGCAGCAGCCCCGGAAAACCCGCACAGCAGAAAAAGGCTCGCGCGCTTCGCCTTTCCGGGCCAACGTTCTCCCGGATCTCGCAATGGCTCCTGGGAATGGTAGTGCTTTGCAGCGGAGAAGTTACTTTTTTAAATGTTCATTTTTAAACTAATTCGGGATTCAGTTTCCCAAAAATGCAACTTAAATCCAACAAATGGATATATAGAGAGATAGATATGGATATAAGATAGAGAGATATGGATATAGATAAAGAGATAGATATAAATTGATATATAGTCAGATAGATATGGATATAGATAGATATGTATATAGATAGATATTGATATAGAGAGAAATGAATATGGAGATAGATAACTAGATAGATATAAATAGATGTATAGAGAGATTAATATCCCCCCCCCCCCCCCTGTTGTGTCAGCTCCACTGGCTGCCGATCCAATTCCGAGCACAATTCAAAGTGCTGGTTTTGACCTACAAAACCCTATACGGTTCCAGCCCAGTGTATTTGTCCGAACGGATCTCCCTCTATGTCCCACTTCGGAGTCTAAGATCCTCTGGGGAGGCCCTGCTCTCGACCCCGCCTCTATCACAAGTGAGGTTGGCGGGTGTGAGGAGCAGGGCCTTCTCGATGGTGGCCCCTCACCTGTGGAACTCACTTCCCGGGGAGATTAGATTGGCGAATTCCCTTCGAAAAAAATTAAAGACCTGGATGTGGGACCGGGCATTTGGACATTCTGGCAGCTAAAGAAAGACCTTGATGATGAGCAGGAATTGACGAAACGGAATGGATTTACGGAACTCTGAGCGCTGAGCATAGGATTAGTTTACTATTGTGTTAGTGTATTGTTATGATTGATGATTTTAATTTGTTAACTGTTTAAGTGCTGTTATGTATGTATGTATATTTGATATAGGCATCGAATTGTGCATCCCTTTGTAAGCCGCCCTGAGTCCCCCCCTCGGGG